ATTTTTTTTTTCACAGGTTTCAAAACATCCTGTAAATTTGTTCTAAACCTACTCTTCAGTGTTGAATAGAAGTGGGGTGGGGTCTTCTGAATATACAATAAGGTGGGATGGCAGAAGGAAATTCATTAACATGGTCAAAAAGTGCAAAATGTATAAATGAAGGGTTTTAAGAAGCTTTGAAGGATTTATTTGAGTTGTGCATAGAAATCTTGAAAAAAAAAACACGTCAATGGTCAAGAATTAATCCAAAGATTATTGATAGAATAGACATATATACATTTTGATTTTAAAAATTTGTCGCGTTGTAAGTTAACTCCAACTGATATCTTTCTGCCACTTGTTCCACAAATTAATTAAATAATTTGCGTCCAGGTTTTAAAGTTGGTGGGCTAGACAAAAATACTTCACAGGTCAGATGTGGCCAGAGGCCTGGGGTTGCTGATCCCCACTGTAGATTTTTCCTTCTTTACATGCAAACTATTATCCTTTGTTGTTTTGATTGCAATGTCTCTTTCTTTTTTTTTCTATGTCCTCCAGTCTTCATCAGCTGCTTATTGATCCAGATAACCTTCAAGGAATTTAAAATTGAACTCCTTATCTAATCTGCAAGTATTAGACTGCCCTGCTTCCAGCGATCATGTTGAGCAATATTGTTTTTAGGTCTTACTCTAGTACTGTTCACTTATTGCTACCCCTATTTCCAGCAAATGTCGAGCTGACCAGCTCTGGGATTGAACACACAATCCCTGTCACCAACAGAGCTGTGGAGTCAGAACATAAAACTTTGTCTCTGACTTCTTTATTTTTGGCACCTCTGACTCCTCTTTATGTAATTAAATGATTATGGCCTATAAATCTAATAAAGTTTATGCATACACACCTAACTTGAGTTGGCCTATATCATTAGAACTAGTTTATGTCAAAGAATAAAGATATTGTGGCTTTTATGTCATACCTATTCATTCTTCAATATTTTCTAACAGAATTAGAGACAAAATCTTTGAAAGGATATAAAAGAAATAAAAATCTTATAATTCAAAGGCTTTTATTTTATATATATATATATATATATATATATATAATATTAGAAGTCTTAAAATCGATTTTTTTTTTTTTGAATTTGTAGGTCTGATGAATTGGATCATGATTAGATTTCAATGTGATAAATTATAACCATAAAATATTAGTGTTTGAGCCTTTTATAATATATATATATATATATATATAAATAAAAGACATTTTTTATGTTTATACATTCTTTCTATAGATACAAATATTTAAGTAAATGCCCTGTTTATAATAAACAGTATTAACAACATTTACTGGCCTGAATGTCCAAGTAATTGTCATAGAAAATATACGTCCTCCGACAGGAATCGAACTTGTATCCTATATGGAACCATCGCATAGCCTGACGTGCCTTAGCCGACTGGGCCACAGAGGAGCATTCAGTTACCAAAGTCGATTTAACTGTTTTTAAACACAATTCTCCATGTTTTTCTCTCATTCATTCATATCTGCTCAATGTGTATCCAAATATAAACAAATGACATCATGCATTACCAAATGGACAATGTCCAACAATTATTTAAGACATTTTTTTATGTTTATACGTTCTTTTTATGGATACAAATATTTAAGTAAATGATATATATAAAAAGTAAATGATGTGTGTGTGTGTATATATATATATATAAGAAATAAGTACAGAACAAAAATAAAATTACTTTATAACAGAAATTGAAATATAATCTTTACAGGATGTAAAAGACATAACAAAAATAAAAATTCTATAATGTAAGATTTTTTACATATATGGTTTTGCAAATACAAAAAAGTAAAATGACTTTCAAAAGGAAGTTGAGATTTATTTTTAAAGGACATAGCAAATATAGAGTAGATGAAACAAAAATTTTATAATGTAAGACTTTACATAAAGTGTAAATTCAACTGGATTTGGAGTCAGTATAGTTTTATCAACTCCAGTGACCCCTTAATTGCTCTAGACTCTGACTCCACAGCCCTGGTCACCAAATTCAGGAGCTAACGCTTTAATCCATTCGGCTATTGCCATATGACTCTGAGCAGTCCAACATAAGAATTAGATGAGATATCCTTAGACTTGTTCAGTAGAATGAGAACAACCTACCTCAATTGATTCAATAAAGAGTTCAGTTCAAAATTCCCTGAATGTTATATGAAATGACAAGCATCTGAGGGAGGCTGGATTGCATACCAGCTAAAACATTTGGATAACAACAACAAAGATGAGGATAAATTATGTAAACTACTTATCCCTGAAATTCGGATAAAAGAATCAGTTAAGGGATTTTTCTTTTTGTTTATTTAAATATCTGGTTGGTTTTCTCTGGTAAAATGTCTGGTTCACACTCCTCTCCTATCTTTTGAACAGGAGAAGAGGTTTATCCCTTGATTCTTGTTTAGGATTGGGTTTCTAGTTTCTTCTAATGTCTAATTCAGCTCTATACTTCTCTGAAATTGTATTTACTATTTACCTACTTTTTTTTCCTCAATAGGAGTAGATAGCTTTGCCTATCCTCCAATTAACTCACCTCCGCGGTCCATTGAACAGGAGTAGAGGTTTATCCCTTGTTTCTTGTTTAGGATTGGGTTTCCAGTTCTGTCTGAAGTCTCTTCATTCACTTTCACTCCCAACAGCCTCTTGCATCTTCATGATATTATCACCTTACTTGGGATGAATTGATGTAAAAATCTGTTCTTGTCATCACTGAGTTTATTTTTGTGCTGAGTCATCCTTCCTTATACAAAAACTTTACCCCTCAATGTCAGACATTTTTCTCCCTCTCTCTTGCTCTAAATTTACTGAGGTCCTAATTTATAAGACTCTGTTTTCTCTAATTTTTCACTTTTAATGGCACACACCCACGAGCCATTTTTTCAAGCAACTCACCATCAACTTATTCCATTCCCAAAAAAGGAAATTCTACAAACAGAACAGCCTCTTGTAGATTTCGGCCTGTTGATAGATTGAATAACTGCCAAGTTATTTACTGGTTGGAAAATAAAATTTTCTGAAGAGGTTGCACTGATGCTATTAGGGAAGGCATGAATCTGTTTTTCCCTGTGATGATGTCATATTGTCAGGTATTTTGACAAATTATCTCCTCACTGAGGAGTAATTGAGAAGGATGAGGGAGTAAACATTAAGACAACTTATTCTTTTGACTAAATCTATGGTTCTTTTATTCTCCAATACCCATTTTCATTCACTTTTTGGCATGTAAAACATCTAGAATTAAAATTACACTGTTCAAATAAGAAGATTTAATGTCAAATGTATTTTTTAAAGAAATATGAGTTTGTTCAATTCCTTCTTGATCAATTCACAGACAGATCACAAAAATGGATGCATTTCAGCCATACCATATTGAAAAACCATTTTTTCAAAAGAACAAATTAAGCACCAAGAGGGTGACTTCTTGAAAAACCAGAGGCATTAAACATTTTTTGCTGCAGGGAATTGAACTGAAATTAATCTAATTAGAGACTATATGATATGGTGGATAAAATTTTTTTTCCTCAATTAAACATACTTGTAATTTTTCCTGCTAGTATTAAATCATACCAATCTATATCAATAAAATATCTATATATATATATATATAAATATATATATATTGTCCTTCTATTATAAACAGGTTTTATCCAAGGCTATAGAATTCCAGTCAATTATTTTTTATAAATATCTTTGGAGGAGAACAAAGAGGATTCACACCTTTAAGGGGTATTAGCATGTGAAGTGAATGTAATGGTTTTGAACTGGAATTCAAACTTGGCTCTCTGATTCCTCAATCCAAGCCACTATCAATTTAGATATGCCTCTTCAAAACCTGAAATTTGTTTGGGGACCTTGTGGCTTTTAGTGCACCAGGTCTCTGAATTCTTGCCCTTCCAAAATTGTTGGATGGTCTTGCATAAAACTTAAACCACTATAATCAAATCTCATGTGCTGTTGTCTTTTGTGGTTTCCTGGGAACTGATCTGTTTGACCCTCATGCATCAAATTCGATAAATGCATTCTTATAATATATATATATATATATATATATATATATATATATATATATATAAAATGAATATAATAAAAGTTGACTATTTTTTTATCTTTAATTTTTAAACAGAAAAACAAATTCAATATCAAAACATATAAAAGTAATAAAAAAAAATAAGCAGTTTATTGACACAAAAACAAAAATTATATAAAGCTTAATCTTTACAAATGACTCCTTAGCATGGCCTGGATACTGGTTGCATACCAGTGCTGGTCCACAGACCACCACTTTTAGTAGCACTGGTGTACTAGATAATGGCTTATAACTGGAACTCTGAGAGCAACATTTCAATTCCATTCAGGCTTGTCATATTCACTTATGTGCAAAAACTCTTGGAGAAAGTATGAATCCACCTGTTGGCTTTGTGTGTTTTGAAAAAAAAAATGTGCAAAAAAGACATGAAACATTTGTTTTAACTAACCACCTTAAGAGACAGCATATTTGAAGACTAACAATCAGAAAGTACAAGTGTATTGATTTAAAGAATCTGGTATGTCGTTTGGGTTGCCATTTCCTTTATCTCTCTAGGAAAAGAGAATCGCTTGACATACATGATCTCGCATATTGTTTTGACTGATTACAACCTGATGTAAAATCTCATATTTATTTTTAGGTGAATAAAAATGTTTTTTTTTTTTTTTTTTAGTTTACTTGAACCAAGTGTATTTTTTAAACAAAATCTACATATCTTATTTAAGATTTGTTATTGTTGGTTTTTTTCTTCAAACCTCTCATTTACATTATTGAAAAATTTTTTGAATTTTTCTTTGAAATCTTTCATTTAGGGCCACTGTTTTAATTATGAAACGTTTAATATGACTACAATAGAATTAACAGTATGTTTTTTTTTTAATTTTTAAGGAAAAAGCACTGTAAATTTAGCACAAACATTATCTTAATGAACTTATGTTTATTTGTCTCTTTCTGTTCTCTGTCATCTATCATTCTTTCGGTTCACAATCTATCACTGTTTTTTCTTTATCATTTATCGATCTTTCTTTCTCTCTGTTCACAGTCTATCTCTCTCTCTCTCTATATATATATATATATATATATATATATATTTTTGTTCTGTCATCTATCTATCATTCTTTCTGTTCACAATCTATCACTTTTTGTTTTTTATCATCTATCAATTTTCTTTTTTTTCTGTTCACAATCTATCTCTAAATGTTATATAAGATTTTTTTCAAAATGTGTGCTTTAGCTGTGTTTAAGGCCGAATGTATGGGATACCCAGTGAGATAAATTACTGAGTTGTAATGTTTAAACAAGACACATTTTAACCATTACACCTAAACAGGTTCCCTCTAAATATATATATATATATATATATATATATATATATATATATATAAATTAATTGATTTAAAATATGGTTATTTTGCTTACACAGTTCCAACCATGTTTCAAAAATAGAAGCTAAAACCCCTAATTTTTTTTTTGCAATTAAATTAAAAGCATTAGTTCCATTTCATCAAAAAAGCGAATTTTGGAGTAACTTTTTAAAATCAAAATTAACCAAAAAATAAAATATCTATAAAACTTATTCAATTTTATATCTTACTGTTCTTTCTTGAATTTGTTTTATATATATATATATATATATATATATATATATCCTATTTTATATCTTTGTTATATTATAATTATTTATCTTTCTGTTCACAATCTATCTTTTTTTTGTTCTTTATTTCATTTTCTTTCTATATCTCTGTTGAAATTGTTCTCTTTTTATATATATTATATATATATATATATATATATATATTTATCTTTTTTTATCTATCATTCTATCTTTTAAACAATCTTCCTTTTTGTGTATTTATATATATATTTCATATATCTCTATTTTCATTATATATATATATATATTTCTATATATATAAAATATAAAAATTTTGTTTTTTATCTATCATTTTTCTGTTCAAATCAATTTTTTTAAAATCATCATATTTCTGTTGATTTAATTTCTCTGTTCAGTCTATATATATATATATATATATATATATATTTATCTATCATTCTTTCTGTTTATCAATCTTTTTTTTGTTCTTTATCATCTATCGATCTTTCTTTCTCTGTTCACAGTCTCTATCTGCCCCAAAGATTTCTTATATATATATATATATATATATATATATATATATATTTTTTTTCTGTTCTCTATAATTTGACAAAAAATAATTCAATATCAAAACATATAAAAAGTAATAAAAAATATGCAGTTTATTAAGACAAAAACAGAAATTATATAACCTTAATCTTTACAAATGATTCCTTAGCATGGCTGGGACACTAGTCGCATACTGGTGCTGGCTTGTAACTGGAACTCTGGGAACAACATTTCAATTCAATTTAGGCTTGTTATATTCACTTATGTGCAAAAACTCTTGGGAAAAGCTGTGGGTTAAATAATAGGGCGTGTATCAGTAAATCATTGTCTGCAAAAAATTCTTATAATCCAAAAATATTTTCTGGCTTTAAATAACATAGAAAAAGTTGATAAAGCATTAAAAACATATCCATGTTTGAAGAGATGGACCTTTTTATCATTTAAATATTCCTGACCACATCTGAAACCGATCTCCTAATAGAAAACTCTATTCTTGTTCTCCTTTCTGAGGCCAGTACTTAAAATATTTTGCCCTTCCTTGCCTTTAAAGGAGTGCCTTTTGCCATGCTGATGTTGCTACATGCCTTACTTCTTGCCTATCTCACACTGCAAATTTTTTCTAAGCTCTATACTAAACATTAAATCTGTTACGAAAAAAAGAACTAAACAAAATGAACACAAAACGATCAGCTTTAAAAAAGGACTCGTAACTGGAAAAACTGAATGAAAAAAAGAATGTTAACAACAAATTTTTTTTCACACCCAACCCAGTTCTGTGGAATCAGAATCAACGTTGAGTTTAAGCAAGCGAATGAGCCAATTGGAGTAAAGTGCCATGCAGATTTAAATTTTTCCCACTTGTGACGAATGCAGCTATTGATTTTTTTTTTTTGCTAGCATGCTAGTTAACATTCATGTCAGTCAGCTGTTGGCTCTCATGCTGGCCAATAGAATCTTCCTGCCTATTCGTGGCAGCCAGCTATAGGCTCTCACTCTGGCCAGTAGAAAATGGCTACAAACTATATGAAAACTGCTGTAGAAGCATGAAAAAAATCGATTATTTCTACTATCGATAGGAGTTGGGAAATGCAAATTCAGTCTTGGCCTTTCCACTAACTTGAAGCATGTGCATGTAAATTTTGGTGAAAATCCGTTGAAAATTGTGGCCGTGCATTCATTACACACACACACACACACACACACACACACACACATCACATCCTGCCTTTTATAGATAGAGATAAAATAATCATAAATAAATTTAATATGAGATAATTTATAAGTAAAATGACAATATGAATCAGGGCTTTAATTATTCAAAAGAAATTCTTTTTGTTTATAAAATTTGATTTTAGATCAATCCTCTCTAAAACCTACAGGATTCATTTTAATATTTTACTATGTTGGCCAAAAACTACTCTTTTTTATAGTCTCTCAGACAATATATAATTCATTTTTATCTAAAAATACTAATTTTTTTATGAATTATCCATATACCTAGATATTTGAAGTGTTTTGACAAGTCATTGGTAAACTGTGACCCATGCTTGATTTCATAAAGTAAATGTTTCTGAAAAAATTTATTTTGTTTCCTTCTCACTTGTTCACTCACACACTCTCTCATACATAACCACCAACATAAACAACAATTATGTACAAAGTTTACCGAATTTTTGCAATAATTCAATGAAAATAACATTTTCATCATTTTAAGCCATTGACAATTTTCACTGACGGAGATCATATGCATAAACAACTTTTGCTTTTGAAACAGAAAACATCCATAATAATTTTTTTTTCTTTGAAGAAGAAATATACTTTTTCTAAGTTTTAAATGAATAAATTTGAAATAAATCACATGCAGTGACATGTGTCAATCACATTGTCATCTGTGATAATATTTAAGATTTATTTAATACTTTTTTTTTTTTAAAAAAAAAAAAAAAAAACAAAACTTTTGTCCCATTTATCAGGTATATGCTTACACATATGGACTTCTGTAGGGAAAATAGCTGAGGTACCTGCTATGAAAATTTGTTGAAATTTTTTAACTGGTTTTTTAAAAAAAAAAAAAAAAAGTAAAAAGGTTGCCCATGCCTGACTTATAGTTTATTAATTCCACATTAATGGATTCGGGATATATGACATCACTTGTCTTTAAGTTAATCACTTTTACCAAGGAAGAAGAAGCAACAGTAAAATAGCTGTTACACCTATTATCAAAAATAATCTATAAAAATAAAAAAAAAATATGAATGCAAGTAAAAGCAACTTCTCAAGGTCTTGTATTTCTTTTTTAATCTATTTATTTTTTTTTTTCACATTTAATCTTTTTTTGAAATTGAGATGAAGACAACACCAATGATTTATTCTGGGATTTAGGGGTGGCGATGAATTATACACTGCTACAATTCTCAATTGGATCAGACATTGTAAAAAAAAACAAAAAAAAAATTCCTTTTATTTTTTTGGGACTTTTAATTACCAGAAAAAAAAATGGGAAAAAATAAACAGATTAACAAATATGCAAAGTTGAATTCGTAAAAAAAATATATTTTTCAATTTCAAGTTGTTTTAAAGAATTTTAATTATGTTTCTTCGTTATCCAAATTACCATGTGGGTTTATAAAATCATTTTTTTTTTTTTTTTTTAATGAATATGATTTATTTTTTTTTTTTTTTTCCTGTTTCTGTCCAAATACCTGTTCTGAAAAGTCTGTTTCCTCCTTTTACTTAAGAGTGGGTATCTCATTAAATTTTAAAAAGGTTGCAAACTGGGAAATTGAATATATTTTGTTTATTTTTCTTATAATTTATATATACTTCATTATATACTAGAAATGAAAAATGATTTTATCTGTTTTATATAAAAAAATATTTGTTGAAAAAAAGAAAACAAAAACCATGAGTTTATTTTTTATTATTTTTAGAATTTTTTCATTTTTTTTCCTCTAAATCTTTTCCAAAAATTTCTTCTTTATAAGCTATGAGAATTTTCATCAAAAAAAAAAAACATTTTGACTAGATTTTTATTTGTTTATTTTAAAAGTTATTTTTTCTTTTCATTTGATAAATATTTTTAAATTTTTTTTTTTTCTCTCATTTTTTGCATTTTTTTCATTTATTATTTTTTATTTCAAATAAAAAAAGGGTTTTGAGTTTAAAAATATTTTAAATTGAAACATATTTACTTTTTCTGTTTTATTTTTTTATATAAAGTAATAAACTTTTTTAAAATTTGTTTTGTTTTTTACCATGAATTGAAATTTTATAATGTTAATTGGATTTTTTTTTTATTTGATTTTTTTTTCAAATTTTTTCTGAAAAAAAAAAAAATATAGATTTTTTTTTTACTTACCTGAACATTGTTTATTATTTCTCCTTTTCGTTTTTTTATTTAAAAACAAAAAAATTTTTGTCATTAAAGCTGGGTATTTCTTTCTATCTTTTTCATCACAATTTTCCTTCTATCTTTTGTTTTTCACCAGAGTTTATTTCCTTCTTTCCATTCTTTTTTCATCTTTTTTTTCTTTTCTTTTTTCTTTTTTTCTCTTTCTGCTTTGACAATTTTTTTTCATCTCCTGTTAGATTTTCTTTTTTTTTTTTTTCCTCATAGAAATGCTTTCCTTTTCTTTTTTTAAAAACGATTGTTAATAATTTTTTCATTTTTATTTTCTATTTTTTCTTTTTTTTCTTTTTTTTTTTTCTTAGTGTCCTTTTTTTTTTTTTTTTCCTTAACGTGTCCTTTTTCTTTTTTTTTTTAGTCGTGTCCTTTTTTTTTTTTTCCAAAATCAGTGTATTTTTGCTTTTTTCAAATCTATTGTTTTTTTCTTTTTTTTTCCTCTCGTGTCCTTTTTCTTTTTTTTCTCTTTTTAAACAGCATTTTTCTTTTTTTTTCCTTTGGTGTCCTTTTCTTTTTTTTAAAAAATTTTTTTTTTTTTTTCCTTTTTTTTTTTTTCCTTGTCCTTTTTCTTTTTTTTTTAAAATGTCCTTTTTTTTTTAAAGTAATTTTTTTCTTTTTTTTTTTTTTTTTTCTTGTCCTTTTTTTTTTCCTTTTTTTCTTTCAATTTTCTTTTTTTTTTTCCTAGAAAAAGTTTTTTTTTTTTTTTTTTTTCTTGAAATCCTTTATTTTTTTTTTCACTCCAGTTTTTTAAACAAATAATGTCCTTTTTTTTTTTTTTTTTCATCTCGTGTCTTTTTTTTTTTTTTTTCCAATTAAATCTTTTGTCCTTTCCTTTTTTTTTTCCTTTATTTTGTCCTTTTTCTTTTTTTTCCTTCTCGTGTCCTTTTTTTTTTTTTTTTTCCTCCTTTTTTTTTTTTTTTCTTTTTTTTTTTCTTTTTTTTGAGTCCTTTTTTTTTTTTCCTCTCGTGTCCTTTTCTTTTTTCTGTAAAATTTTTTTTTTTCCTTTTCCTTTTTTTTTTTTTCCTTTTGCTTCGTTTCATAATTTTTTTTAAAAAAAAAATGTCCTTTTTTTCTTTTTTTCCTCTTTTGTATTTTTTTTTTTTTTCCTCTCGTGTCCTTTTTCTTTTTTTTCTCAAAGGATTTTTTTTTTTTTTTCCTAAAAAATGTCCTTTTTTTTTTTTTTCCTCTAGTGTCCTTTTAAAAAAGAAAAAGAATAAGGAATTCATTCTCTTTTTCTTTCCTTTTTTAATCTCATTTAAAAAAAAAATGGAAAAATGAATTTTTCTTTCTGAATGATTTACATCTTATTTTTTTCCTTCTATCTTTTTCATCCCACTTATTTCTTTCACTCTCTTTCATCTTTCTTTCCAAAATTAGGTAAAAAAAAATCAGAAGATGTGGCTAATTTTAAAAAAAAATTGATGAATGGCAAAATTTAATTTTCTTGAATTGCATTAATAATTTTCTTTACAAAAAATGTTACTTATATTTTTTTCAAAATGTATTTATTAAAAATTTTATTTTTTTTTTACAAAATTTATTGCTGTTTTTTTTTTCTATATTTTTGCAAATTGCTGGTATTGTCACTATAAAAATGTATTTTCATAATATTTTGACCTCAGTCTGGAGATTAACTATTTGTCCATATCTGAATCACTAACATTGGTTATGGTGGACCTGGGAACAACAGCAATTAAGATTTGGTTCATTCTCTAAAAACTTCAATCACCTAATTAGAGGCCTTGCTGCTTGGATGTAGTTTTTTGTCATACCCACAAAAATGTGGTTAATTCAGTTAAAAAAAATTTTGACTATAAGAATTGTAAATGGATGAAGCCACAAAAACAAATTATTTGAACTTTTAAATTTTTGCCAATTTTCTTTAATATTTGTAGCCTCTTTTCCAAGTTTCTTTTAAGTTTTTCTGAATATTTTTATTTGGTTTTAATTAAAAATAAGGAAAAAAAATTTAGTATTTTTTTAATTCAATCCTTTTTTTTTTTTTTTTTTTTTTTCTTTTTTTTTTAAAATAAATCTTTCTAAAATTTCTTTCTTTCTCTTTTTTTTTCTTTTTCTCTCTCTCTTTCTCATTCTCTTTCTGTCTTTTTTTTTCTTTCTCTTTCAAATCTCGAAGTTGTCTTTTTCTTTTCTTTTTCTTTGTTTTTCTTTTCACCGCTTTTCTTTCTCTTTTTCTTTCTCTCTTTTTTTTTTTTTTTTTTTTATTTCTCTTTTTCTTTTGACTTTTTTTTTTTTTTTTTCTTTTTTTTTTTTCTCTCTTTTTTTTTCTTTTCTTTCTCTTTTTTTCTCTTTTCTTTCTTTTTCTTTTTTTTTCTTTTTTTTTCTTTTTCATTCTCTTCTTTTTCTTTTCTCTCTCTCTTTCTTTTCTCTTTTTCTTTGTTTTTCTCTGTCTCTTTCTTCCGCTTTGTCTCAAGGTTCTTTTTTCTTTCTCTCTTTTCTGTCTCTCTCTCTCTTTCTTCTTCTCTCTTTTTCTTTCTCTCTCTCTTTCTCTCTTTTTTCTGGAAGAAAAAAATTTTTTTCTCTTAAAATCTTTCTCTCTTTCTCTCTTAAAACTCTTTCTTTCTCTTAAAATCTTTCTCTCTCTCTCAAATATGTATTCTTTCCCCCCTTATTTTTAAAATATGTTTTACCATTTTTTGTTTCCACTTTTTTATCTAAAAGATCTCTCTGATTTAAAAACAATGCAAAACAGCATTTATGTTTTTGTAAGAAATTACTCCTTCTTTCCATCTTGCATAAAAATTTTAAACTAAATATTTTTCTTTTGCCCTTTAAACACTTTTTTATTGGGCGTTAATTTAAACAATACCTTACAAACAGTTATTTATATATATATATATATATAGCATTTCTTGGCCTATTCAAGATAGATTTTATTTCTTTAATGTTTTTTTTTTACCTTCTTTCTTTTTCTTTATTTTATCTGCTGAACAGCTGAATTTGAACCAGAAGTTGGCGGTTTTAAACAAAACTACAATTTTATCTACTGTAACACAAAAGATTTTTTTTAACATGTCAGTTATTTTTAACACAATTGATTGGCTATCTTTTTTTTTTTTTTTTTTTTTTTTTTTTTTTTATTTCCTTTTTCTTAATACCTAGATGTGTTGATTTAATTTTTTTCCATTTCATTTGATGTCATTCAATAATTTCTTATAAATAAATTGTTCTAAAAATTAAACATGATTTTTCATCTCTATAAATATAAAATTTTTTTTCAATGTTTTCTTGATTTTTTACCTAAATGACATGATTTAATTTACAAAGAAGTTCAATTTTTTTTATTTTAATTTTAACTAAAAACCACTATTAAATTCATTTTTCATATTTAACTAATATCAGTCCCTGATAATGAAATTTGAATTGAATTAGCTCAATTTTCTAATATTTTTTTTAAATGGTTTATATATATTATTTTTTAAAATATGATTCCATCGATCCATGAAAAGAGTTCTCATGTTTCAAAAAAATTTTTAAAATCTTTCATTTAATATAAAAAAAAAAATTGATTAGCTAAAAAGGTTATTTTCATAAAAAAATTTAAATTTTTGGAATAAAAGTCTTGAAATTTATGCAACTTTATAAGCATATTCAAAATAATATTTTTTTCTATAGAAACTATTGAAACAATTATTTTAATAAAATTCATAAGGTTAACATATTGTATCAATTTTATAATTTAAATTGAATTTTTAGTCTTATATGTTTTTAAACATGAGAACTCTTATCTGATAATGGAATCATATTTTTAAAAAATAATTTTATTTAAAATCTACTTAAGTATTAACATTCTATTTTTAAAAATAAAATAAAATATAATAATTTCTTAGTTTTTAAATAAAATTTAATTCCTTTTTTTCTATAAATTCCAAAACGTTTCTAGGACATTAGGTCATTTCCTTCCTTTCAAAATCAGGCATCACTGGCTGTTGTTTTGTGTTTTGCATCGCATTCAAACAACAGTTTATTTATGCATTGGTTTCAAACAACAAGCATTTTTAAAATTTTTCCAAATTCTTGCATGGGTCTGTTGTTTGAGGAAAATTTGCGTGGATTCAAGTTAAATTTTTGACATCAATTTTCAGAAACGCATTCAAACTTTTTTTGGATGACTTGAGAACGCTTTTTTATTTATTTTTCTAGATTTATTCTAATGATCAATTATCTTCCTTCCAACTGTCTTTTTTTCATCCTGTTTTTGTCTTTTATTCTTTATCCTGTTTTTTCTATCTTTCTTTCATCCTGTTTTTGTTATTTTTCTTTCTTTCTGTTCAAAATCTAAAAATTTTTCTTTTTTCATTCTCTGTTTTCCTCTTTGTTTCATCCTCTGAATTTCTCTTTCTTAAATTTCATTTCTTTTATCTGTTTGTAAGAAAAATACATTTTAAAGATCTGTTAATTTGAAATCTAAAAACCTTTTAGTTTTCCTTTTAAACTTTTTATTTTCTGTGTTTTTTTTCCAATTTTGTTGGAATTTATTAATTATATTTTTTTTCAATTTTTCTTTTTGTTTTCTAACCTAAAATATTTTTCATTTTAAAATTTTAAATGTTCTTTTTGTTCTTTCTCCTCATTTTTAACATTTTTAATTTTTTAAATTTTATTTTTTGTAAAAATCTTCTAGGATATTTTTTTTAAATTCTTCATTCCTTTTTTTTTTCTTATTCTTTTCTTTTTTCTTCTTTTTTTGAATTTGTTTCCTTACGTTTTATTTCTTTTGTTTCCTTCTAATTCCTTCATTTTTCTTACCGGTTCAATCTTCTTCCCTTTGTTTCCTTCTTTTTCTTGTTTCCTTCTTTTTTCCCTTCTTCCATGTTTGTTTTTTCATCCTCTTTTTTTAATTTCTTCCACCTTTTTTCTTTCTTTCCTTTGTTGGAGACTTCCCTCTTTTTTCTTTGTTGTTTTTCTTCCCCTCTTTGTTTCCTTCAAAAAGGATAAAAAAAATTTCTTTTTTTTTTTCTTCTTCCCTCTTAGTTTTTAACTTTTAAAAAAATTTCCCCTCTTTGATTCCTCCCTCTTCATTAAAAATGTCTTTTTTAATTCAAATTTTTTTTCTTCCTTTTCTTCTTTTTATTCATTTCCTTCTTCTTGTTTGCTTTTTTTTTTTCTTTTTTTTTGTTCTTTTCTCTTTTTTCCTTCTTCTTTTCTTTGTTTATTTCTTCTTCTTCATTTTTCTTTCCTTCTTCTTCTCCCCTCTTTACTTTCTATAAACGTTCCCTCTTTGAACCCTTCTTCTTCACCTCCTCTTTGTTTCCTTCTTCTTTCCCTCTTTATTTCCTTCTTTCAAATTCAAAAAATCTTTTTTGTTTTTCCTTAAAAAAACCATTTCTTTTATTTCTTCTTCTTTGAATTTGTTTCCTTTTCTTCTTCTTTTTTCCTCTTTATTTACTTCTTCTTCTTCCTCTTTATTTCCAATTTCAAAATATTTTTTTTCTTTTATTCTGAAATTCTTTGTTTACTTTTCTCCTTCCTTCTTTTTTAAATTTTCCTATTTTTCTTTAAATGTTTATTTTTTATATTTCTTCCTTCCTTCTTTTTTCTTCTTCTATCTTTATTCATTTCTTCTTCTTCCTTCTTTGTTTTTTAAATTTTGTTTCTTTCTTCTTCTTCTTTTCTTTATTTTTCTTCTTCTTCTTTTTCTTTTGTTTATTTTTCTTTTCTTTTTTTTTTGTTTTTTTCTTCTCGTTTCTTTTTTTCCCATCTTTTTTTATTTTTTTTCTTTTTTTTTCCAGTTTCTTCTTCTTATCTTCTTTCCCTTTTTTTAGATTTCTTCTTCTTCTTTTCCCTCTTGACCTTTCTTTTCTTTTCCCTCTTACAAATTTCTTCTTCTTCTTCTTTTTCTTCATTTTAAAATTCTTTTCCTTTTTGTTTTTGTTTTTCTTCTTTTTTTTTTTATTTCTTCTTCTTCTTCCCTCTTTTTTCTTCTTTTCTTCTTCCCTTAATTAATTCTTCTTTCATTTTTTTATTTCTTACAGTTTTTCTTCTTCTTTTTGTTTTTCTTCTTTCCCTACTCCTTTTTTTTTCTTTCATTCTTCTTATACTTCATTTCCTTCTTCTTCTTTTCCTTGTTTTTTCTTCCTCTTTGTTTCCTTTTCTTCTTCCTCTTTGTTTCTTCTTCTTCTTTTGTTTTTTTTTTTACTTCTTTTTCTTCTTTCTTTTTTCTTTTTTCTTTTTTTTGTTTCTTCTTCTTTTTTCCCTCTTTTTTTTTCTTTTCTTTTTTCTTTCTTCCTCCCTTTTTTCCCTTCTTCTTCCTTTATCCTTTGAAAAATTTCCTTTTCTTTTCCTCCCTTTGTTTTTTCTTTTCATCTTTTAAACTTCTTTCCCTCTTTGTTTTTTCTTCTTCCCCCCTTTCTTTTCTTCTTCCTCTTTGTTTTCTTTTCTTTCTTCTTTTCTTCCCTCTTTTTTTTTCTTCTTTCCTTCTTCTTCAATCCTTCTTTTTTTTTTCTTCCTTCTTTCTTTTTTCTTTTCTCGATTTTTTTCTTTCTTCTAAAAATTCTTTTCTTTATTTCTTTTTATTCTCTCTTTGTTTCTTCTTCTTCTTTTCTTTTGTTTCTTCTTCTTCTTCTTTGTTTCTTTTTCTTCTTCTTTCTCTTTTTTTATTCTTTTTTCTTCTTTTCTCTTTTTTTCTTCTTTTCTTCTTTTTTTTCTTCTTCTTTTTTTCTTCTTTTTTTCTTCTTTTTTTTTTTCTTCTTTTTTCTTTTCATTTCTTCTTTCTTCTTTTTTCTTCTTCTTTTTTTCTTTTTCTTCTTCTTTTTTTCTTCTTCTTCTTTTCTTTTTGTTTCCTTCTTTTTTCTTCTTCTTTCTTTTCCTTCCTTTCTTTCTTTTTCTTGTTTCTTTCTTTTTTTTTCTTCTTCTTTTCTTTTGTTTTTCTTCTTTTTCTTTTTTCCTTCTTCTTCTTTCTTTTTTGTTTTTCTTCTTTCCCTCTTTTTTCTTCTTCTTTTCATTCTTTCCTTCTTCTTCTCAGTTTTTCTTCTTCTTTTCTTCCCTTTTGTTGACTTTTCTTCTTCTTCCTCTTTGTTTTTTCTTCTTTTTTTTTTCTTTTCCTTTCCTTCTTCTTTCTTTTTCTTCTTCTTCTTCCTTCTTTTTTTATTTCTTTTTTTCTTCTTTTGTTTCCTTCTTCTTCCTTTTCTTTTTTTCCTTCTTCTTCTTCCCTCTTTGTTTCCTTCTTCTTTGTTTCCTTCTTCTTCTTCTTCCCTCTTTGTTTCCTTCTTCTTCTTCTTCCCTCTTTGTTTATTTCTTCTTCTTCTTCCCTCTTTGTTTATTTCTTCTTCTTCTTCCCTCTTTGTTTACTTCTTCTTCTTCTTCTTCCCTCTTTGTTTATTTCTTCTTCTTCTTCCCTCTTTGTTTTTCTTCTTCTTCTTCCCTCTTTGTTTATTTCTTCTTCTTTTCCCTTTTATTTCTTCTTTTCTTCTTCCCTCTTTTTTTTCTTTTCTTCTTCCCTCTTTTTTCTTTTCTTCTTCTTCCCTCTTTGTTTATTTCTTCTTTTTACAATCTTTTTTTCTTCTTCTTTCTTTTTTCTTCTTCTTCCTCTTTGTTTATTTCTTCTTCTTTTCCCTCTTTGTCAATTTCTTCTTCTTCTTCCCCTTTTCTTTCTTTTCTTCTTCCCTCTTTGTTTATTTCTTCTTCTTCTTCCCTCTTTGTTTATTTCTTCTTCTCTTCTTCCTTTTTTTTCTTTTCAAAGATCCTCTTTGTTTTTCTTCTTCTTTTCTTTTTCTTTTCTTCTTCTTTCTTTGAACACTTCTTTTCTATTTGTTTCTTCTTTTTTTTATTTATTCTTCTTCTTCCTCTTTGTTTTCTTCTTTTTCTTTTTTCTTCTTCTTCTTCTTCCCTCTTTTTTTTTCTTCTTCTCCTTCCCTTTTTGTTTCTTCTATTCTTTCCTTTCTTTTTTTCTTCTTCTCCTTCTTTGTTTCTTTTCTTTTCTTTTTTACTTCTTCTTCCCTTCTTCTTTGTTTCCTTCTTCTTCTTCCCTCTTTTTTTTTCTTCTTCCCCTCAGATTTCTTCTTCTTCTTTCTTCTTGTTTCCTTTTTTTCTTCCTCTTTTTTCCTTCTTTTTTTCTTTTCTTTTCCTTCTTCTTTCTTTTTTCCTTCTTCTTCCTCCCTCTTTGTTTCCTTCTTCTTCCTCCCTCTTTGTTTCCTTCTTCTTCCTCCCTCTTTGTTTCCTTCTTCTTCTTCCCTCTTTGTTTTTTTTCTTCTTCCATTTGTTTATTTCTTCTTTTCTTTGTTTTTTCTTCTTCTTCCCATTGTTTTTCTTCTTCTTCCTTCCATTTTCTTTTTTTTTTTTTCTTTTCTTCTTTCTTTTTTCCTTCTTCTTTTTCTTTTTTTATTTCTTCTTCTTTCTTCTTCTTCCTTCTTTTTATTTTTTCTTTATTTCCTTTTTCTCTTTCTTTCTTTTTTCTTTTTTCTTCTTTTTCCTTCTTCTTTTTCTTTTTTTTTTTTCTTTGTTTCCTTCTTCTTCTTCCTCTTTTTTTTCTTCTTTTCCCTCTTTTCTTCCTTCTTCTTCTTCTTTCTTTTTTCTTTCTTTTCTTTTTTTGTTTCCCTCTTTGTTTTTCTTCTTCTTCCTCTTTGTTTTTTCTTCTTCTTTTTCTTTCTTTTTCTTTTCTTCTTTTCTTTTTTTTTCCTTCTTTTGTTTTTCTTTTCTTTTTTTTTTCTTTTCTCCCTCCTCCTTTCATTTTTTCTTCTTCTTTGTTTCCTTTCTTTTTTCTTCTTCTTTTTTGTTTCCTTCTTCTTCTTTCTTTTTTCCTTCTTTTCTTTCTTCCCTCTTTTTTTTTCTTTTTCTTTTTTTTTTTTTTTCTTCTTCTTTCTTTTTTTTCTTTTCTTCTTTTTTTTCTTTTTTTCTTCTTTCTTTTTTTTTCTTTTCTTCTTTTTTCTTTCTTCTTTCTTTGTTTTATTTTTTTTTTTTCTTTTCTTTCTTCTTCTTTCCCTCTTTTTTTTTTTTCTTCTTCTTTTCTTTGTTTTTTCTTCTTCTTCTTTCCCCTTTTTTTATTTTTCTTCTTCTTTCCCTTTCTTTTCTTTTAATTTTTTTTTTCTTCTTTTCTTTTCTTTTATTTCTTCTTTTTTCCCTCTAATTTCTTTTCTTCTTCCCTCTTTGTTTTCTTTTCACCTTTAAATTTCGTTTTTTTTTCTTCTCTTTCTTTTCTTTTCTTCCCTTCTCTTTTTTCCTTCTTCTTCTTCCCTCTTTGTTTCTTTTCTTCTTTTTTGTTTTTTCTTCTTTTTCTCTTTTTTCCTTTCTTCTTCTTTTTTTTCTTCTTCTTTCCCTCTTTGTTTCCTTCTTTTTTCTTTGTTTTCTTCTTCTTCTTCTTCTTCTTTGTTTTCTTTCTTCTTCCTTTTCTTTTTTTTTTCTTCTTTTCCCTCTTTGTTTTTCCTTTTCTTTGTTCCTTCTTTGTTTCCTTCTTCTTCTTCTTTCTTTTTTCATTTCTTCTTCTTCTTTTTTCCTTCTTTTCTTTCTTTGTTTCCTTCTTCTTCTTTTCTTTTTTCTTCTTCTTTTTTTTTTCTTCTTCTTCTCTTTTTTCCCTTTTTTTTCCTTTTCTTTTTTTCCTTCTTCTTCTTTCTTTCATTTTTTTTCTTTTCTTTCTTTGTTTATTTTTCTTTTCTTTTTCTTCTTCTTTTCTTTTTCTTTCTTCTTTCTTTTTCTTTCCTTCTTCTTCTTTTTTTTGTTTCTTTTTTTCTTCTTCTTCCCTCTTCTCTTTTCTTTCTCTTTTTATTTCTTCTTCTCTTCATTTTTTTTTTTCTTCTTCTTCTTCCTTTTTTTTTCTTCTTCTTCTTCGTTTCCTCTTTCTTTTTTCCTTCTTCTTCTTTCTTTTTTCCTTCTTCCCTCTTTGTTTTTCTTCTTCTTCCTCTTCTTTGTTTTTCTTCTTCCTCTTTCTTCCTTTTCTTCCTCTTTTTTCCTTCTTCTTCTTCTTTTTTCTTCTTCTTCTTCCCTCTTTCTTTTCTTCTTCTTCCCTCTTTGTTTTCTTCTTCTTTTTTTTCCTTCTTCTTCTTCCTT